TACTTACTGTTCATTTTTGAAAGAAAAGATCATGCCAAACTATTTAGGCAAAATATCTTTTCAAAGAATCTCAGCCTTTTAATACCGCATTTTCTTTTGTCTTGACAGTTGTTCATTATAAAAGATATGTACAGTTTTTATTTTATCTTGGATGTGGCAGACAAAAGTTTTTCCAAGGTTATATGCTTTACTGTTCATTTTTGAAAGAAAAGATCATGCCAAACTATTTAGGCAAAATATCTTTTCAAAGAATCTCAGCCTTTTAATACCGCATTTTCTTTTGTCTTGACAGTTGTTCATTATAAAAGATATGTACAGATAATTTTTATTTTATAATAAATTGTATTTATATTTTTTGTATTAATTGTATTTTAATATCTTTTTTGAGTAGCTCAATTGGACTTTAATATTGGCAGGCTATTCTAATTCAAAGCAACACGTGTTTGGATATATTACAAGCAGTGAACAGCGGGGTTGCCACTTTTAAACTTGTTCATCACTCACCCTTGCATATTTAGAGGAATATGGATCTTCAAAGAGCGCCCAAACACGACGCTGCCAACGTTGGCACAACCCTGCACCTTTTGCGTCAGGTGAGTCGCCTAGGGCCAGGCGTTTAGTCATCTCAAGTTCCTCGTCTCCATCCCCTGGATCACCCAAAACTTCTGTGTCCATATCATCGTTGCCCATTTCAGCTGGCCCTCCGCCGAAACTGTCCAGTGCCTCTTCGGCCTCCCGGTGCTGCCGGTATGTCATCCAGCAGCAGGGCTCCACATCTGTCTCGTCGATGCCCCAGAAGGCCAGCTCTTCCTCATAAAGAGGGCCACAAACATCAGCGGGGCAATGCAACTTGCCAGTCCTATAATAATTGAGAATGTGTGCAAAAACTCCGGGGTGGCGATCAAAGAAAAACTCGTCGATCTGGGCGTCATAGTCAAAGTGACTGTGGGCATCGGGCTCGGCGAGCCAGGCTAAACGAGTGCCGGGGAGAGTGCGCAGCGTGCTGCGGTAGGTCTGGTGTCGAATCCCTCCCACGTTAATCACAACACGGTCTTTCTCGTCGCCCTGGCCCATCTCGTCGCTTAGGCATGTCTCGAGCCCGGGCCAGGCATTACAACGCTGAAAGACCCGGAGGATACATGTGCGCAATTGTTAGGCAACGGAAAAAAGAGAGTGAACTGAATAAACGCAGAAAAACAGGTGCGCAAAGGTAGCTCAACTGCAGGAAACCGCTGCATGAGAGTTTGATGTTCTTGTCAGGTGAATATGGGATTGCCTCCAGATGCCAAGAGAAAATAAGAAATTGCAGACGTTAAATGAATGCAGAGGTTATCATAAATTTACGCTCCGCACCATGAGGTCCAGAGAAGGTGCAAGGCTGATGGCTTGTGGTGCACCGCTGGTGGCAGATGTGTGTGGTACTGAACGGACAGCTCCCTCCTCTCTCCAAAACGAGACACATGCACTCCCCTTATTCCCAGTAGACGCCTCCTCAAATCCGACAAAGTGGAGGGATCGAGGCTCACTGGAACGGTCACATTTTAAGCGTTTTTTCGATGTAGCATCAGTAGTTTTCTTCAAAGCATGTCCAGATGCCCATTATCACACGCAGTTTGTTGACAAACACGACAGACATCACATCTAGAAAATGCTTTGCCACTGGATATACAGCTATATCCTACTCATACAGGAGACGTCAGCTTTGAAGTGGGAGAGGACCGGTCCTTTTAAAAATGTTCTTTTGTCTCCACAATGTTCAGTTTGGCGACGTCCTCCGGTGTTTGTTCGGAAGTGATTGATCGTATCCTCTTTATTTCCACCAAATGAATATTTTCAGTTTCCCTGTCTCTGTCGACCAGTGTGGAGCGAGGTTCGTCATTCCTGCGGAGAGACAACATGAGCCTCCTCTAGAGCCAACCGACGCGCATGCGCAATTGCTGAGTGGATGAGTCGATGCGTGCAGATCAGATACTGGGATGGTTTCAGACAGTGAAAAGCTCTATTCAGAAAGACGTGCAGTATTATTGGTAAGACAAAGGCTGAAAAAGCGCTGCGCCATTCATGCTTTCCCTCAATATGCAGTTTCTGCAGGACTGCATGAGCGCATATGCACTCAGTAGCCTATATAAAAGATAGCCTATTTGCTTTAATGAAAGGCCAGTGAATAAATAATATTAGGTGTAAGACACGGTCAGAAATCAGGGTTTGTGGTGGGGAAAAACTAACATACCAGATATATTTAAATTTGGGGACAAATAAAGCTATATATATATATAAAATCAGCAATTACCGGTATATCAAAACGTAGGGTACTGTTATGTGTGACAATATGACTGGCAAATTATTTTTAAAAAATTCCAGCAGTGCATTTATTTTATTATTTATTTGCAGACAGACTGTGCTTGAAGTTCATTTGATTTTGGTAACAACTGTTGCAGATTGAAATTATGTTTAATTAAAGTATTTGACATAAGTTGTATGAAAATGCCCTTGTATAAGTAAAAAAGACCCTAAAATAAATTATTAAAAACCTAACATCAGCGTGAATCTATATATTTATGTATAAATATGCAGAATGCAGTCTATCAATTGGGAGCTAACCATTAATTACCAGGCCTTGCAATCTTTGGAAAGCATCAAAATAACTTGAAATCATGAAACATTTTTAAAGTGCAGATGTCACTACTGATAATTATGTAATCAATCATTTGATCTAACTTATTAGGAAATCACATTATTGTGATATGTGATATAGTGATATAGTGACCAGGCCTGTTTTCAGTTCACGTTTTGCTGTTTTTTCTTCTAATCGTCATTCTTGACCATTTAAAGGCAGTTTACAGTATGTGCTTCGTCTCAGAAAACACATAATGGGATTTATCCCAAATTATCCTGTTCTGCTGAGGAGGAAAAGCAATTAGGCTTCAAAGGAAAGATAATGTCCACTCACACTGGTGAGTTGTTGGTATATGGTCCCATGGGCATCACCTCCACTGTCAGAAACCCATTAACTCATACAGGGTAGGAATTATCATTGGCAGGCAAAATGTTCAACAACCTCAACATTCATATACTGCTTGTAATATCAATTGAACTAATATCACAAACCTTCGTTATGATATCATAACCTTTATTATGTCATAATAAAAAAGGAATGAAGTCCGATTTCTGCGTTGGATCAAGTAGGATGTCAAAATTAAAAAAGCTCTGAAATTATATTATTGATGAATTTATTATATAAAAATAATTATATGAACATACTATAATATAAATATTCATAATAAACGCAATATTTAACCTTCCTACTGGTCACTATGTTAACTGGTGCTATAGCGAGACTATTAGTGACATCTAGCGGCAGAAAGTCGTTTGACAGCGCAGTACACAGTTGCCGAATTTCATGATGATGATAAAAGATGCATTAATTAATTTATTAATATTTTACATGTAAATAGTCTCCACAAAATGTTCTTTTATATGCGTAAAACATTGCTTCTTGCTGGAAATATTTACAATTAACTGTGGCACTTTGTATATTATCAATATATATAGGCTATTAATGGCATTGTTAAGAGAGTTAGAGTTACTTATTTCACGTGAGAAAATAAAACAGTTTGTCTTGCTCCTTACGAAAAGGTACAGCGCTCCCAGCTTTACTTTTTCTGTTTAAAATCTCTGAAGCTCTGTTTCCTTCACAGCCACAAGGTGGAGACATACACTAATTCTGCATGAATAAAAGGCAAGTAAACATGGCTATTAAAGGCTCATTTTTACCCTTTCCATTGTTTATATTTTCAATCCCACCTGCAACACAGGACATCGATATATAGTTTTTTTTTTTGACGACCCAATACGAATTTATAGGCGGTGTCAGAGGATGCGAGAGAGTTCTTTTGAGCTGTATTGTAAATAATGAGACAGATCAAAATGTTCAGAAATGTTTGGGATAAACCTTTAATTATTTGCGATAGCCTATGTGTGAATTAGGCAGCTAATTTATTTTTGAAGGAGTATGTAATCTTCTCACTACTTAATTAATTATTTTTTTGTACGGTCTCTATGCTGTTATTCGGCCGTGTTTAGGGGTACTCTCTAAAGGGGAGGAAACTGGGTGTTGCCCGATTTTTTTTTTTTTCAAGTCGACTGAATCCAAGCAGCAGCAACACAGACGGAGATTGGAGTTCAGTCTGCGCGAGCGCTGCATAACGGCTGCTTCATCGAGACACTTCTTTAACCGGGTTTAAAAACATCCTCCAGAAACCGACACCATGAGCGTGGAAGGCTGCACGAAATGCATCAAATACTTGCTCTTCTTCTTCAATTTCATCTTCTGGGTAAGTGGGCGTTCATTTTGTGCGATGGTCCTGCGTGTGGCCTGAGAAACCGCCATTGGTTTTCTGTACTAAGATTGTTTAGCCTTGATGTTTTCAGCCGTTATGAACAGGAATTTAACCTGCGCCGCTAAGGACTGAAACGAAGATGGCCCTGTAACTTCTGTTATGACTAATTCACGGCAGATGAAATTGTTTTAAATATAGACGTTTTATGTAGAAGATACTATTATATAATCGCTGAGACAAAACGATAAAAACGGCGCCCAGCTTTTTTCGACCTCACTGCGAAAATAACGGACGAGGGGCGAGGAGTCAAGCAACAAGATTTCATTACAGCTCCCGTCTATTAATACTCCCCACAAAGGCTAGTCTCATGTTTATTACACCCGTCAAACTTACTATTTTCTTTTCCTTATGTTTTTAATTTCACAAAACTTCGCTACTATTAATGCTTTAACATTTCACACTCGGCGACACAATGAAGTAACAAAATAGCGCAGTAATAAATATTTGCGTTGTCTGGTCCCTCCCACTCGCTGTAGTTTGGAATAGAACCTGGAAAAGTGAATGGCAATACAATATTGCACCCAGCCAAACCCCGTTGAGAGTTTTATTTCATCATGCCAGTCATACTAGTCACGTTCCTTCTTTAATTTCAAAGTGGGTTTTCTGGCTCATTTCCTTTTAGGCATTTAAGGTTAACTTACTCTTACTAAACAGTCTAGCTAGATATCAATCATGATGGATTTCTTTAGAAGTGTACAATGTTCCAGTTTATATCTTATCTACAGCACTTTCTAAATTGTTAGTCAAGCATTTACAGTGTCTTCTCAAAATCTGGTTGATTAATCAGGTCTCAATTTTCATTTTACAAATTAGTCTCTTTGTAGGTGATTTCTATACCAAAGAAATAAAAAGAGCATTGTGTAACTGCGTTGATAATTATGTATGAAAGTATCACAGGATGAGTGTTAAATGATAAGTGTTTAAACTAAACTTTTCTTCCCAGAAAGTGCATCATGAACAATATAGTTGCAGTGTTTAAGCCCGTTCACACCAAGAATGATAACTATCGGCGCGTCCGAAATCGTGTAGGCTACTGTCTGAGTACTACGTTGGAATTTGAATTTACTTCACGGCCGTTAAAAAGTATGTTCTATATAGTATGAATATGGGTAGTATGAATGAAATTTGGACGAACTATATCCTCCATGTTGTTACTGTCACATGACCAATCCCAAAGACTATGCTGCGTCCCAATTCGCCTACTTATAGGCCTAATGGTTAGAGAGTCTGACTCGTAACCCAAAGGTTGCGGGTTCGAGTCTCGTACCGGCAGGGATTGTAGGTGGGGGGAGTGAATGTACAGCGCTCTCTTCCACCTTCAATACCACGACTGAGGTGCCCTTGAGCAAGGCACCGAACCCCCAACTGCTCCCCGGGCACTGCAGCAAAAATGGCTGCCCACTGCTCCGGGTGTGTGTTCACGGTGTGTGTGTGCACTTTGGATGGGTTAAATGCAGAGCACTAATTCCAAGTATGGGTCACCATACTTGGCCACATGTCACGTCACTTTAAAAGTATGTACTCATTTTGTGAAGAAAAAGTACATACTTTTGAGTATGTAGCAGAATAGTAGGCAAGCTTTGGGACATAGGCCTATGGACGCTGTGTTGCTTAGTTACGTGCATCCTGTCACCATTTAAACTGCCCTGTCAATCATCTTGTCAAAGTTAACAATATCCATATTTAGTTTAATTTAATTTCCTACCGAATTGGAGAGAAATTAAGAGGCACGTTGATCTGCCAGTCGCGGGTCTATCATGCAGAGAACTCTGCTCATATGTTTACATAATGATGCATTTAAAGTTAATGACCAAACGTATCTTTATAAAAGTTCATAGTGTTGCTGCAGATTAAATCTAACATGGACACATTAAATAAATATTTTTTTCAACAGGTTAGATATTGATTATTTATTACTCAAACCCCTCAAAGTACTCAAAGTATGCGATTTCAGACGCAGCTTATGTCCATAAAGTTTTAATAATCGTTCTAATTCTATGAGATTTGCTAAGTCCACTCCACAGCTTTAACAGTAACAACACAGTGGAACAATATCGCTGGAATAACTTTCATAATGTTTTTTTCCCCCACCCAATATTAAAGTCCTTGAGCATTTAAAGCAGCAGACAACATAACTGAAGCTCACGCTCATAATAATCAAAACCACAGCTATAACGATAACGGCACAGAGGGTCGAAATTGTTCCAATCACTTTCAGAACTATTTTTCCCAGCTGATAAATGCTAAAAACATTGACAGCCATGAGTCCACCTGACTTTAAAGAGCTTGAGCATTTAAAGCATTGGACAACCTATCAACAGTGTGCATTAGAATAAACAGATTGTCCCTTGGTGTGTATGCAAATACAGTTATCTTTGTACTTATCGGTCACGATGTGAACGGCCCGTTAGGCACATTGAGAAACGAAATGTTAAAGCCAATATATGAACCTTGTGATGAAACAAGAAACCAACTTCAACATAAAGCAGAGGCATATTTTCCCGCTGGCTAATGGGTTTAACACCCATGCTGATTTCTCTACAGGCCCAACAGGTGGTGAAACCCCTTATGTGTGAATGAACATGGCAAAACAGCATGATGGCTTCCTACCTTGAGGAATTTTGCTTTGAGAACTGAAACAAAGAGATGGTGGTGGAAAAATACCTATAAAGAGGGTGTTAGATCTAAGAGTCCATTGCCAAGCCCATATGATGAGTTTGACAGTACATTGTGGTTAATGGAGAATGGGTGTGGGGTTTGACAGAAGGTCGGGGCCTTCTACTTCTGAGCCGCATGCATTGACATGCCAAGTATTCTACAACCACCTCACACTGGGTCATGGGTCAAAAATAGAAGCCGCACCTGACTGCTGGCAACAGAAGGGAGAAGTATGAGAAGGGGGCTCTGATTTTAAGACACTTACACAGGCTGATAACTGTGTGTGTGAGATAAGGAGAAGTGTGTGTGGGAGGGCGGATGCTAATTTCGTCATGAATGAATGAATGAATGAATGAATGATGCATTTATATAGCGCTTTATTGTGTATTGTTGTACACCCAAAGCGCTTTACAATCATATGGGGGGTCTCTCCTCAACCACCACCAGTGTGCAGCATCCACTTGGATGCTGCACACTGTCATGTTGCAGGAAATATTAAGAAACATGGTGCTAAATATTTTTTGTATACTCTATCCATGGCATTGGCCTCTACTGGTTTTACCTTGGCAACCAACTTATAAAGGAGGGGAAAAAAATTGTTTATAGCTGATCAAAACCACAGCTATAACGATAACGGCACAGAGGGTCGAAATTGTTCCAATCACTTTCAGAACTATTTTTCCCAGCTGATAAATGCTAAAAACATTGACAGCCATGAGTCCACCTGACTTTAAAGAGCTTGAGCATTTAAAGCATTGGACAACCTATCAACAGTGTGCATTAGAATAAACAGATTGTCCCTTGGTGTGTATGCAAATACAGTTATCTTTGTACTTATCGGTCACGATGTGAACGGCCCGTTAGGCACATTGAGAAACGAAATGTTAAAGCCAATATATGAACCTTGTGATGAAACAAGAAACCAACTTCAACATAAAGCAGAGGCATATTTTCCCGCTGGCTAATGGGTTTAACACCCATGCTGATTTCTCTACAGGCCCAACAGGTGGTGAAACCCCTTATGTGTGAATGAACATGGCAAAACAGCATGATGGCTTCCTACCTTGAGGAATTTTGCTTTGAGAACTGAAACAAAGAGATGGTGGTGGAAAAATACCTATAAAGAGGGTGTTAGATCTAAGAGTCCATTGCCAAGCCCATATGATGAGTTTGACAGTACATTGTGGTTAATGGAGAATGGGTGTGGGGTTTGACAGAAGGTCGGGGCCTTCTACTTCTGAGCCGCATGCATTGACATGCCAAGTATTCTACAACCACCTCACACTGGGTCATGGGTCAAAAATAGAAGCCGCACCTGACTGCTGGCAACAGAAGGGAGAAGTATGAGAAGGGGGCTCTGATTTTAAGACACTTACACAGGCTGATAACTGTGTGTGTGAGATAAGGAGAAGTGTGTGTGGGAGGGCGGATGCTAATTTCGTCATGAATGAATGAATGAATGAATGAATGATGCATTTATATAGCGCTTTATTGTGTATTGTTGTACACCCAAAGCGCTTTACAATCATATGGGGGGTCTCTCCTCAACCACCACCAGTGTGCAGCATCCACTTGGATGCTGCACACTGTCATGTTGCAGGAAATATTAAGAAACATGGTGCTAAATATTTTTCGTATACTCTATCCATGGCATTGGCCTCTACTGGTTTTACCTTGGCAACCAACTTATAAAGGAGGGGGAAAAAATTGTTTATAGCTGGCGTCCTGTGATGAGTAATCTAGAAATATAGTAAATTGTAATAAAGAAAAAATATTTAATAAATCAACTACTACTAGTCAAGTCAAGCTGATCAGAGGAATGCTTTATGGTCCATAGTTACATAGCTTTATGTACAGTGTTTCCCTTAGGTTTACGGCTTTGGGGGGGAGGAGGTTCTGTTTTTTTTCCGTTTAAATTTTTCTTGACTCCTTTTTAATGGTTAAATTACATTTTATTAATTACATGTCGAATTAATTAAAATCATGAAACTTAAACAATTTAACATCAATGTATCAAAAGTTTAACAAAAATTACATGTTTAGGGCCCTATGAAATGTTTGATTTTTTTCCAACCTTATGTTTTATTGTTACCAAATTCTGTTTTTGCATTATTTGAAAGCATAAAAACATGTTTCATTTATTCTTAAATAAAATAAATAATTTTTATTTAAATAATAAATAATATTTAATATTTAAATAATATAATGGCAGGGGAAACACTGATGTATGTTTTTAGGGCCACTATATGGCTAATAAGCAAAATGATTACTAAAAC